ATTCTAAGGAACGCACGCAAATCTAAAACAATCGATTATCGCAAGCACGTGTCGTGAGCATAACGTGGATTGCGCTCACGATTAAGAGAGGATTATTTGCGTTTTTGGAGTTTTCTAATAATTGCGGACTCGACAAAAGCTGCGCCAGACTTCGGCTGCCTAGCTCTTGACGAATATCATCACGACATCCTTCAAGCAGGGAGCGGTGGCGGAGTGGTTAGCGCATTGGTGCTTTGAACTTGGCCACTTTAATTCGATTCCCTGCTGCATTGCGTACAAAGGGGTAGTGTGGTCAGAACCACCCACGTCCGCATTTATCTCTTCCCAATTGCCGATGGTTACACACTACACCACGAAGGCAGTATTTTTAGACTAAGTCTACCTAGGGGAGGCATCACTCTCCACTAATGTTAGTCAATTCGCGAAATCATAATATTTATTTATACCGGCGGAATCCGATGAGCTATAAAGCTCTTTTTCACAGATGTCCAGTAAGGGCGGGTCAGAGCAACAAACAGTACAAAAACACGAGTGCAAAATATAGGAGAGGTAAACAAATCACTCAAAAATATACAAATAAAACTAAGCAATGTTTTATTTTACCAATTAAGCCCACTCAGCTTTTAGCTTACGTTTTTGGAGCCGAGTGGGCTCAACAAAGTGGCCTATCATGTGGAAATGTATAGCAGCAAAGTAATCTAAAATCTTCTAAATCAAACTCGGGTGACCAACTTTACACTTGATTGTGTTTATCACTCAGCCACCACTCCGCCCCCCAGATACTAGAACACCCCGAATATCACTGTCCTGTATTCACCCACGTGTCCGTGTCATTATTTCCAAATTACCTAAACCACAACATTTCCAGATGTTATCCAATCAAAACAAACAGCACCGCCAGCTTTCTTGAATAGATTATGCGTTGATTTGGAAAGCGTTGTGTTTTTTTATATTTTAGCAGAGAGCTGCTTGTATAAATGGTTACCAACAGGGCGCTTGCAATCCAAACATTGCTATTTCGACCTCTGCCTCTGACCACCCAGGCTGCGTATGGTGGGGTGAAGTGTGGGTACTCCCACCTTACAAAACCTCCGGCCAGCGTGGTAGAGTAGATCAAATATGCCAACAGCGGCATGAGAAAGAAATCAGAAGGGGTGCGCCTTTACAGCGCCTGTGTGTTCAGTCTCGAGTTCCATTCGCCAGTCCTTTCCGCACGAATACGGATGGAGCCTGCACACGTTTCACGAACCTGATGGTTGCTAAACACTTCGCGCATCACGTAGAGAGCTCACAATTGAGTTTTAATTGGCGAGTTCGGCTTATCAGTAGCCACGGCCTGAAAATTGCACTGGTGACGCCGGGTTCACAGCGCAGTTGCGCTAACCGTTGCGCCACCGCTCCGTCCTCTGAAGACGTTGGCTGCACAGATATATACTAGCCCCGTGTCGCGAGTATAAAAGCGACTTTTATGATGTAACGGCTCACGCGTTTTAACGCTCCAATCAATGCGGCATCACTCAAGCCGCGTTAACTGCCTAATTCTATTCGTGCCTTATGCATACCTACACTCGCTCAGTCAACAGATCCAAATCTTCAACAACCAAACAAACGAAATAGCTCGCATTGTAAGAGAAGTATAACTTTCCAACAGAGTTTTAGGTACCACGCAGTAGGGCGGTGGCGCAGTGATTTGCGCAGTGCGCTTTTTGTTTTTGACATCGGCCTTTCGAGTTCGGCCACCGGAGTTCGATTCCCGGCCACGGCTAACATCAGTGGCGATTGATATCTGACGTGGTCCTGGCCGGCCTCTACCATTCTCTTTCACCAACCCACACGTGGTTCGAGTATGATCAACCCCATTGAACAACACGGTCTATCAACCGGTAGCGGACTGATAAATGATGAATTTTGATTTAAAGCTTTCGTGACTGCAGGGATTCATATTCTTGGCTCTTTCGGTAAAGTCACGTAGAAGGGAAACAATAAAATAATACCAACATTTTAATACAAATATTTTATTGTTTCCCTTCTACGTGACTTTACCGAAAGAACCAAGGATATGATCAAGGATGATTAGTAAGCACGACAGCATGTTAATTAGTGTTGCAGTATTCAATTTGGGGGGGGGGGGGTATCCTTCGCAAATGCCCTGGTGGCTGTGTAGTTCTATCACACGATGACAACTTGTGGACTTCTATCCCCGGGCCGTGATTGCACGAGTTGCCCGATCGCTCTGACCCATGCCGCTGGCCCGGTGAAATGCGCCTCGACCAGCCCGAGCGTCTTCCAAACCAATCTGCGCGTCCTTCCGTGTCGCCGTGTGCCCCCTCCGTGTGTTTGTACCTCGCCGTGTCGAACCATCTAATGGTTTCCATCGGTGGCGATGGATCTGGGGCGCCGCAGTGGCGAGATGTTATCCCTCTCGCCTGGCACGCAGGAGGTCGTGGGTTCGATCCCGACGCCTGCTGTGTATTTGGAGTTTGCGTGTCTCTCTCTCTCTCTCACTCTTTCTCCCAGTGGTCGCGTGGATTTTTTTTCTCCGGATCCTCCGGTTTTTCCCTCCGCATTTATAAAACTTGCGTCTCGAGTATTTGGCTGCTTTACATTTCCACACTAGCAGCCACCGCTGTTGGGCTATCGTTTGTAGCCAGGGTCGCGTCTGAAAGAGAGCCGCTGTGTCTTCCAGTGGGCTTTACCTCGCGGTTTGCTGTTGTGTCCGGTCTGCGCAAGTGATGTGTGTACTGTATAGCGTGAAGTGTCCTGTCTTTCACAGATCAGCTGGTATTGCTATAGTGACGATTTCTGTGCTTCTGATCTAATTTGTATTTGATTAATAGTCTATTGGTAATGGTAATGCGATGATAGCTTGGTTAATATTTAATGGTTAGAATTATAAGCATACGTGAGGGCATGGTGATGATACTGACGATGGTGATTTGTAAAGTAATTATATTTATGATGGAATGTAAAGATGTGTGATGATGATATGTAAATGAATGTTGATGATGAGATGTAAATGTATGTGTTTAATGATGATGTAGGTAGTTGTATGTAAGGGTATGGTGGTGATGATGATGTTGATAACTGACATTTAAACGTATGGTGGTGATGATGATGATGATGTTGTTGGAACATCTATGAATTGTGTGCCAAAGTGAGTGGACAGAACCCGGTTGGGGAAGGGAAAGTGGGCGATGTTCAAGGTAGTGAAGCGGTCAGCCAGCTGCACTACCAACCCGGCAACCCGAGTTCGATTCCCGCTCACGGCCAACACCAGTGACGATTATCTGAACCGGTGCTAGGCCTCGCCTAGGTTGACTCAGCCTCAAACGAGTACCTTGTGCGTTGTGTAAAAAACATTGCCACTGGGCGGTTGGGCGTGGTGCTGGCCACCCACCCCCTCGTGTACCGTCCTGGCATCCATAGGTGCTCGCTGACAGCACTTGCCCCAACAGTCTGTTAAGGCTACACGGGAGATCTTTGTCTTTGATGGTCAAGATAACGATTGGGAGGGTGGAGAGCAGGGAAATTGGAGAGAGTGTCATTTGGGAAGCAAGTCATCAGCAGCGGAATCGAGAAGGAAAGACTTAAGTCTCGTGATGGTGATTGATGATAATGATAACTGTCAAGAACTACCATTTGTGTTTAGTTTAGCACGGTTGGCTACGTATGGTGCGAAAGAAGTTAAACGTACATACTACATACATACTCCTTCGTAACGGTTTAAAAAAAAAAAACGTGGCAGCTGCTTCATTTGAACGAAAAATCTGATGAAGATGAGGAATCACCGAGATGTAGATGATACTTATTAGGCCAGTAATGACTCGCTTCGCTCAATCGTCGGATGAATTGCGATTCGATTAAACAATGAATTATATGTTTTTGTTAATAAACATTCTGGTCATTGTGTTACAATTTTTAGTGGCGGCAGGGGTCACACATATCTACCGTTCATAGAACAGTATAAATGCAGAATAATAATACATATTCTGATAGTCAAACAGGAACTCGGGCTTGGTTCGCAAGACAACACGCAAGGCATGCTGGGATTCCTATTATGTATTGCGGCGAAGACGTACTTGCATACACATTGTTTCTTTCTGACCTCCGATTAGCACGGTTGGCTACGTATGGTGCGGAAGAAGTTCAACATACATGCAATGATCTTCTAGCGACTAAGATGCCTCTTGATCTAGAGAGGGCGCTGGAATTTGGAACATTAAATAATCTATTCTCAAGCACACAATTCAATACATGTATTGCAAGCAAAAGAAAATATTTTATTCGACTAAGCGACGCATCGATACAACACTATTACCCAGGCCTATTGGGACATGTTGGGCCCCCGGTATATGTTGGCTGGAGCTCCCATTTCGTTCTCATCCCCCATAGCCATTGCCAAAGGGAGCAGCTTTGCCTGGGCTTAGAGGTTGTAGCCAATGTTGGTAATGTTTGCTAAGTGCATGCTTTTCGATATTTTTTTGTTTTCTATTCGGGGCAGGGATTAGATCAACACATTTTTCGCAAATGACATGTGGCTGACATTTTAACCACAAAACTACATCGCCAGGTAGGCTACATATATTATTTATCATAGGTCTGATTTCGACGCCATGTATTGTTTATATTGTCAACTATTACTCCTAATTATACAATTACTACTAATTATCAGCTATGAACAATTCCCCGCTGGCAGAAGGCCTCCCAAAGCTGTCGCCACCTCTCACGATGCTGCGATGTAAGCGCGTGAACAAAAATAACTGAATTCGAATGAAAGTTCATATCTGCTTGTTGTTTTCGGGGGAGCCACTGAACTTCGTAACCTTGAGCCACCTTCCATCCCCCTCTCAGCAGGCCTGCTAACACCCGTGTTTGGTTCTTCCCTTGTGTGCGTGCGCCTGTGTGTGCGTGCGTGCGTGCACATGGATGTGTGTCCGTGGTCGCGTCCGTGTGTGCACGTGCATGTCTGTGCGTGCGTTTGTGTGTGCGTGGCCCAGCAGGGAAGACCCATGGCGTGTCTCCAAGCTCGTCAAGAGCTACATGCAGCAGCACAACATCCCGCAGCGCGAGGTGGTGGACGCCACGGGCCTCAACCAGTCGCACCTGTCGCAGCACCTCAACAAGGGCACGCCAATGAAGAACCAGAAGCGCGCCGCGCTGTACGCCTGGTACATCCGCAAGCAGCGAGAGATCCAGAGACGTGAGTCCTGTCTCTTCTTCTCGTGCCGTACCACTCGGATAATCAGGCGCACTCATTCCACCCTGTGCGTGTGTGTCACGCGCACGTGCGTGTTTGCGCGTGTTGGTGTGGGAGGAGCGGTTTTGCGCGCTGCGCTGCGAACCCGGCGACGAGAGTTCGATTCCCGCTCGCGGCCAACACCGGTGGCGATTATCTGAACCGGTCCTGAGCCGGTCCCGGCTCAGCCTCAAATGAGTACCCGGTGCGGTGTGTAAACATCGCCACTGGGGGGGGACAAAGGCGGCCGGGCGTGGTGTTGGCCACCCCACCCCTTGGTGTGCCATGCCGGCCTTCATAGGTGCTCGCGAGCAGCACTTGCCCCAACAGGCTGTTAAGGCTTTACGGGGGTTCTTTGTCTATGTGCATGTGACCAGATTTGTAGAATCATGTTGGCGCTGGGCACAAGTTTGTTGGTGTCACTTACCTTCTGGAGTTTATTGATAATCTGGAGAATGCCACCGCACTCGTAAAAGTGGGCTGGATCGCGAGCGATGGTGATGTCTTTTTTTGGGGGGGGGAGGGGGGGGGGAATCGGGGGTGGGGGGGGGGGCGCCTTCATCCAGCAGCGGCCCGATCGTGGCTGATGATAAATAACGACGATCGCGGCCGTTGTTAAACAACGGCGTGCGCTCGCCCCACAGAGTTCAGCCACGGCGTGGTGAGCGGTGCCCCCCAGGGCATGGTGGACGACGGCCTCGCCGGCACCGCCGGCGGCGCCGGCCCCGGCGAGGAGCCCCCCAACAAACGCTCGCGCCGCAACCGCTTCAAGTGGGGGCCCGCGTCGCAGCAGATCCTGCGGCAGGCGTACGAGCGGCAGAAGAACCCCAGCAAGGAGGAGCGGGAGGCCCTGGTGGAGGAGTGCAACAGGTGAGATGAGACTTTTTGCTCATTTATTTTAGCATGCCAGGACCTGAGCCGTCCCTAGGTAGGTACAGCCAGGATGGTCTGGGACCGCCGTCGCGCTGCGTACGTAGGTGCGCGCGAGACGGACGCGCACGGAACATCTGCCTCGTGCGGGCGGAGCGCAAATGCCACTGACCGTGGGGCGTCGTCGGCTGCCCGGCGGCGCCGGTGTCGTTCGCGCGTGCAGGGCGGAGTGCATCCAGCGCGGCGTCTCACCGTCCCAAGCCCACGGGCTGGGCTCGAACCTGGTCACCGAGGTGCGGGTCTACAACTGGTTCGCCAACCGGCGGAAGGAGGAGGCGTTCCGGCACAAGGTGGCCCAGGACGCGTACGAGACGGGCGGCGAGGCGCAGCACGGCGGCATGCACGGCTCACCGTCCCCAGGCCGCTCCATGGGTACGGCGGCGGCGGCGGCGGCGGCGCATACGTGGAATATTTTGAGTCGATATCTTTGTGTGCTCGGCGAGCAATCTCTGCCCGGCATCTGCACAACTGCTGACCGTACCACTGCGGATGTGACGGTGTGTGTGTGTGTGCGCTCTTGGCGCGGGGGTGATGGGGGGTGGGGACTTCATGCTACCGCGCGGTTCCCGGCTCGCGTGTGAGATCACTGCGCCTCGTTGCGACAGAGACTAAAGGGGTTTTCTTTCTTTTTGCATGTTCACTTTTTCCTTATTCGCCATCAGCCGCAATCAATCCACTGCTGGATGAAGGCCTCCCCTTAGCTGTGACCATCTCTCACGAGTTTGTTTTCGCAACTCCGTCTCCGTGGTGGATGTCCTTTCTGGTGGGGACCCTGCAGTCAGCGGCTGCTCTGACGCTACAGTTTTGTCACATTCTATCTTCGAGTACGAAACATCTGCGCGCGACTTCCATACAGTGGACACTGTCTACTGGGCATGTAGATACGTTCGCTATCTAGTCGATAAGATGCCTGCCGCCTGTGTAAGGCAATTGAGAGGAGGTTCTGTGACGTCATCTCTGGGGAGGTTCCTCTTCGCTGACGCGAGGTGGCGGTGCGCCGCTCACCTGGAGAGTGTCAACAGAAAACGTTCGCCAGCCCGTGACGTAATGCCAATGGCACAGTCCTTCATAAAGTTAGTGCAACGAGTATTGTGGGTATTTTTTCGTTTAAGGTACGCACCTATACCGGCGGCATCGTCTGAAGGAGATTGTGTCTGGCCATGAAAAAACGAGCATCGTTCATTTGGGGCAGACAGAAGCTATCCGCTCCGTGCTCCAATGGCTTAACGAATGGACGGGCTTGTAGGCTTGTAACGATTCACCCCCCACCCCCCCCCCCCCAGAGAGAGTCGATGAACTGTCACGATTGAGGCTCGAGTCGATCTTGTCGGTCCCGTCACGTCCGTGGCTATTTCTCGTTCTGCGCCAACTTGCTTGCGCAGGCTTTCGTCTGCTCCGCGAGTCTTCGTTTTGCACGTATAAGTCGCGAAGAAATTCATCCCTCGATGCACGTGTCGCGAGCCCAAGATTTCCTTGCGTCGTCGGTCCGTACCCTCGGTTGCTCGCGTCCGAACGCCCATCCCCTTTTGCGTCTGAAACCAAACAACCACGCTCTCTGCAGTGATGATGAAAAGCTCAGCGCAAAAGCGGCAACTGAAAGTTTCTTTAAAATGAGGCGTTTTCTCGAGTTAGGGTTCGACGGCGTTTACAAAGACGCCGACGTGCCTGGCGTACGCGCTGCAGGACAACATCATCCCTCCGCAACATCATCCCTGGCAGGGCCCGTCACTCTGCGGCTATGCCACAAAATAAACTCGGCGGCCGGCACCACGCCCAGCCACCTTTGGCCTCACAGTGACGTCGTGCACACACAAAGACAAAGATTCCCCCCTCCCGTATAGCTTTAACAGACTTTTGGGGCAAGTGCTGTTAGCGAGCACCTATGAAGTAGACGAGGGGGTGGGTGGCCAGCACCACGCCCGGCCGCCTTTGTCTCCCCAGTGGTGACGTTTACACACCGCACCAGGTGCTCATTTGAGACTGAGTCGACCCAGGGGAGGCTCAGGACCGGTTCAGATAATCGTCACCGGTGTTGACCATAAGCGGGAATTTATCTCGGGTCGCTGGGTTCGTAGCACACACACACACACGCAGGCCTGGCATAATTGTTAATTTGTTTTGATCTCTCTTCGTTTAACTTTTCAATGATACACTGCATCTCGAATGGCGGCAGTAGCAAATGAATCATGTTGCAGTGAGCCTAACGTGTGTGAAGTTGTAGGAAGCTCAGTTGTAGGGGTTCTGAAGTTATAGGAGTTACAAGTGCTGCACCGAGTACTGGACACTGTGGTGGCAGATGAACTAGTGACAGGAGGTCGGTCCTTTATGCACTTTACACCAATGATTGTGACCTTAGATGGTTTTATAAACCCACATAGCCCGATCTCACAGATCCTGGAAGCTAAGCGGAGTGGAGATTGGTTCGGACTTGGATGAGAGACTACCCTAGGGTATCAACCATTGCAGATTTTTGGGCTGTGAAGTGGCCATAAGATAGCATTATAACAGTGAATTCTTTAATATATAAGTGAGGAGTTCTGAGTGGTTGGGTTTCAATGTGTACTCCAGTATGCACAAGTTAAACACATTCCTTCATGGAATTTCCCAACTTAGGACCCTCCTGAATAAAGCATTGAGACTCAAATTAAGCTTTCCTGGATAAACGTATGAAGGGGACTTTTTTTTTATTATGAAAACTCAAGTCTCGATTGCCATCCAATATAAGGGCGTATGCCAACATACTATGTACACAATACATAATGTAACAACTGATCATTTCCAGCCCTTCATCAATCCTCTGCTCGCCTCCCGACTGCATTTCTGGTGCCATGTGCAACCTTTCAGCAACGGAGTGATGGACGTAGCCGGGCATGGTGCCGTCTAACCATCGAACAAAGACGGTCACTGCATCACGCGCTTTCGCATGCACTTCTGCGGCCGTCTGAAATGCTCTTCCTTTCGATATTAGGAAGCCACTCTAGCAATGCACTTTTAAATCTAGATTGAAAACCCATTTCTTTCTAACTGATTTTTGTGTTTAATTTGTAGTCCTTCCCCCCCACATGTCCTATTGGCACGGTTGGTTATGTACTGTGCGATAGAAGTTTAACATACATACATAGGCACTCCGCAATCATTATTTTTTCCCAACAACATTAGTATACACATTATATATCTATACAACACAGGCCCATACGTAGCCGACTGGGACAAGCCTTTCTGCCTCCATCGTGCAATTGAACGTAGCAGTAAGCGCTAAAAGGGGAGCGAGAAAAAATAATCCGAACAGGGCAAAGCGGTTATGGCACGCGGTTTCCACAAGTGCAGAAAAATAACGCCATCAAACGAGCGAGCGAACTCGGGTGGGTGTGACCAGAATAGGGGGGGGGGGGGGGCGGGGGTGAAAGTTCATCACCTTGTTCGCTTGTGTCGTACCGGCCGCGCCTTTTGTGCTTGCTCGGAGTGATGGGAGTGATGAGAGTCTCCCGCGCTTGTTACCAGGACCCCCGTCTTTGTGCGCGCCAACCGGGGGGTCATTTACGGCGATCGCCCCCCCCCCCCTACGCCCGCCCGAGCGGTTGAATGTGCCACCGCCTCCTTGTTCGGCATGGCAGAGCCAGGGCGGTTTATGATGGGGAGGTTTTTGTTTTTGTCTCTCGAGCCACGTTCCCCATGTCTGGCTGGAGTTTTTTTGCGCATGGTCGAGCGGTCAAAAAAAAACGTGGTGGTGATGTTCACAGCGACGACGGCGACGAGACACACGCACAGATAAAGTGTCAGGGTTCGAGGCGGTGATTCAACCGCAGTTTTGTGTTGTTCTTGTAGTCTTTCTCATTTATTTTCCGTCGCATTTGTACAGTTAAATTTGACACCGACAATGGCACCGTTAAGTGTCGCGCGCTGTTGCAGTTTGCATCAGGCGTTACAGGTTCCAATGTGCATTAGTTTTAACGAGTGTTGTTTGTTGTGAGGGTAAGAATATATTTGTAACCGATCTATCGGCTACAATGAGAATAGAGGGACGTTGTAAGATCCGGTACTTCCAAATGTCAACTGAATAGGTCAGTTTTTATCATGACATTTATCCTTAAAATCATTCGTCTCCACTACCAGCAGCAGCATTCAATCAATTATGCAGTCATTTATGGCAGCTAAAAAACAATTCACGTGACAACCGCATCCTCAAAACATCAGCGCGCAATTTCCGTTGAAGGCATCGCTCAAGGCAGCCCTCTGAATCGCCGGCTCGGCTAAACCGCCCACCGTCGCCGCTCACCGCCAACCGCACACGCCGATTCCACCTCAACCCCGTGTCCCTTCAGCCTCAAAAGGCACCAGGCAGCAGGACGGATGAGACGGCGGTGACCCCAAGGTCAGCCGGCCATCGGCTCCCCCTCCTCCTGACCCCACGCGTTCAAAGGAGTGCACACTTTCTCTCCTGCTGGGGTCCCGCAGAAGGCGTGGTTCTTGCTGGGCTTCAGAAGAGAGGCTGCTCGCTCCGACCGTCCTCGATCCCTGCTCGTGCAGACGCGTGCGTCCGTGTTGTCTCGAGCCCCCCCCCCCCCCCCCCCCCCCCCCACCACAACAACACCGCCAAACTCCTTCATGTGCTAATAACGGGTACACAAGAGGGCATGTCAGTGTCGCATTAACCGGGGAGGTGGATGGGGAGGGGGTAGCTGAGGGATAGCGCGTGTAATTTGAACGGATTTATAGGAAACGTTGAAAAAATTAGCTGCGCGGTAGGTGACATTTTAAAACCGTGTCGGTCGGCGAAAATGATCAAATGTTTTGAAAAGTTACGAGGCTTAAATTACTGTAGGGGGATTATCGCATCTCGGGAGAAACTCACCGCGAATGTTATTGTAAGTAGGTTTTTTTTTATCAATATCGTTATTGCAAGCTATCTCAAGCGTGTGTGTAAATCTCAAAAGCAAATCTGAAAAGCGCCGTGATAGTGCTGAACACTGAATACAACACACAGAAGCGCAAACAATCCTTCCACTTACAACAATTAATAATTATGGCTGTCTCCAGAAACCCAAACCGGGCCCTCCCGTCTGTGTTTGAGGCCGTGTTTGAGGCGAGGCTTTAAGAGAGCCAAAAAGCCGTCTCAAAGTGCTTGCCAGCCCAACAATTAAATCTTGATAGCCGAGGAGGGATGATATCGGTGCCAGAGAATGGAGAGAAAGGCAGTCGCATGCATCAGAGGCGTGCCACCACCCCTCCTCAACTGTCCACCGGTGGGTAAGCACGGAACCCCATTGTCCCGCCGCCGTGGTGAAGTGATAACAATGACAAAGGGGTTCTCTCCGCACTTTGAAGAGGGTGGCCGCTTTTGTTTTCTTGAAGCGGGGGGGGGGGGGGGTCCC